CATCTACATTCACATGTTATCTCCTGTCTTCCTCACACACATGTGCTCTTATTTTTCTGGTGCCTGAAGTTTTGGGGGTTTTTGTTTGTTTGTTTGTTTGTTTTGTTTTTTTATGTCAGGGTGCACCTTGCATATATAATCACTATTGAGCAGATATAAATATAGTTATTTTATTGGCATTGCAGGTGATCCTTTAATGGCACAGGGGTTGCAGGAGCCAACCCCAAGTGCAGTTGAAAATCCACAAGTAACATTTAATTGCCCCAAAACTTAACTGTTAATCAACTACTGTTGACTGGAAGCCTTACAGTTAACATAGCATAAACAGCTGCTCAATACATGTCTTATAAACTATGTGTATCAGGTACTGCAATCTACAAAGGTGGAGAAAGAACTGTGGTATGAGAAAATCATGAGAAAAGAGTGCTTGACTTGCCTGGCACTGTAAGTTCATGTTGTTGTCTGCTTGCAAGATGAATCGTCTGTGGGAAACACGGGGCAGTGTGGTGCAGACCTCCACCCGCAGTGTTCCGCAGCTCAGCCTTTCCATGTCATGTCCTGGCTTCTCTCTGCTGAGTGGAAGCACTCCAACATTACTGGTGGTGCTGTGTATGGGGCCCATGGTGTTATCCAAGGTTTACAGTATTGGACTACACATGATGCAAAAGGCATGCAAACCCCAAGAGATCGCATGCCCCTGTGATACTCAACTTCCTGGAGAGATGAACTGCTCACGCCAAGATGAGGAATGCTACACAATGTGTTCATGAATACTCACCACACTTGTGTGAGCTCACCACAGCAGCACCGGGAGGTTGTCACAAGATATGACTGTAGCACAGTGTACACTGCAGTTAATTTTTGTGCAGTTATGATGTAGCACTGCATCTTTATTTTTGTTTACATTTCTCTCATCTGGAAATGGCTGTGTACAGTCTGTAAGTATACACATATGTTTTGGTAAATTTTAACTTATAATAGATTTGGGTGTATTTTATGGCAGTAAACGGTGGAACAGTGTCTACATATATTTTGTGCATTCATGATATACTCTTTTCTCTACTTTTTTCCATATTTCTAGGCTATGTATTTTATCTGCAAGTTTTTTCAAATTGTTACGAGCATCCAACACATTTTCTAATGTCTTTATTGGAATATATCCATGTACACGTGAACCTGTACAATTTAAATTCATGCTGTTAAATGGTCAGCTGTATTTTGAATAATAATGGGTCAGGGCTTTTTAAGTTAGAATAAAAGTATTTATTAAATGGATGGATGGATGGATGGATGGATGGATGGATGGATGAATAATGTCATCTCCTTACTTTTCCTTCAGTTACCTAAGTGGGTAACTAATTCAGAAACCTTATATACTCTACTTCCTTTTCCTCTTATTCTATGAAGCTATAGCCCAGACAGAAAGATACCAGATAGGACAAAGGGGCAATATTCAATGATTACAGAGCAATGTTGAATTTTCTCTTGCTCAGTTGTTGCCAAAGTGGTAGAAGCTAAAAGTGGTTCATCTCAACCTAGACAGATGATCCTACTCTCTGGTAGCCCCTTGTGACTAATGTGAAGTAGATATGTGGTCTCTCTCCAGAACCTGAAAGCTATTAGAACTATTTTCTGCAGTCCGCAGGTGCAGTTACAGCTTGCCAGTTTGACTTGTGCTGTCTCTGATAATGTGTACTCTATCAAAAGACGCTGTAACACTCTTGGGTGGACACATTGCCTGGTCAAGGATGGGATCTGTTATTATTTGTACCCAAAATCACACTGACTAGGAAATAAACAAGTGTTCTTTGTATAGATTTTCTGTAAGACCTGCAGGCAAAAGCACCTGGGGAAAGAGAGAGAATATGTTATTTCATATTTGAGTATATAATACATAATGATATTCTTATCTATAGATTAGGTAGTCAGCAGTATTTTATCTGATCAGACGCTTTATTTGATCCCAGACTTGTGTTTCAACAGGTGCTACATCCATCACCAGAATCCCCTGTCCTTGTTCTTGCTGTTCTTGTAAAGTGTGCCTACTTCTGCAGGGATGCTTTTGTGTGTAGTGTATCCTTTTATAGCATTTCTTCTGTCTGTTTTGCAAATCTGTAGCCATCCGTCCTAGGTTAAGTATAAAATAACTGACTACACACCTTATTAGAAATCTTTCTCTACGGCCAGCCAGCCAGTGGAGGTCGTCACAATTTACCCACAGCAGTTAGCTGAAGAGCTGTGGTCAGGTAGTGTCTATTTACACACTATCTAATGACTTTAAGGAGGCAGAGCCTATTAGTGCTTGACAATGAAGCCTCTGGGATGAGACTTCTGGGATTCTGATTCTTGTTCTACCACTTGATTCCTCTGGAATCTTGAGCAAGTTACTTAACCTTCCTGTGCCTCGATTTTCTTCTATAAAATGGAAACAATAATACCTACCTTATACATTTATTGTAAGCTATGTATACAAAAATGTGAATATAGTACCTAAAACATAATATGCACTTAGTAAATGTTAGCTACTGTTATACTTACAGAATTCATGAAGCTTTCCAATTTTCTTTTTCAGGGAGTAACTTAGGCCCTGAGAAATCTTCTCTTAACCCCTTTTCCATTAAATTCCAGTTATAAAATATGCGTGGCATATGCTATCATTCTCTTATTCTTCTGGTATCCCCTGAAGCACTGTTCTCTTGGTTAAACCCTACTCTTTTAAAGATTTATGCTTTGAGGATGGACTGTTTACCTGTTCTACATGAGTACTTTGAAAGGGAATATTGTCAAGGAGACTGAAACTTAGAGGAGAAATTGTACCTTGATAAAACTTACCTGCTTCAAAATAACATTCAAAGGAAAGGTGTACATGAGACAGTTTAATCTTCACTTTACTCCCTGAATTAGGTTTTTAAAATTGAGTCTTGGGATATTGTTACTTGTTTCACCACACATGTCTTATTTTTTTGTGTGTCTAGGAACTCTCTTCTCATAAGAAGCAAGGGCCTGGACTGCTGAGCAGGATGGGCCAGACAGTCAGAGCAGTGGCATCCTCCATGAGAGGAGTTAAAAATCGCCCAGAGGAGTTCGTGGAGATGAATGACTTTATCGAAATATTTAGCCAGAAAATAAACTTGATAGATAAAATATCTCAGAGAATTTACAAGGAAGAAAGGGGTACGTAGAATCCCTAAAATGTGCTTTCACAGTTGTTTGGTCTCTGCTGGGTCCTCAAGTGTGCCGGTACTGGGGAACAACATTCGGCTGGGATTTTACCTTCAGAGAGTGACTCATGCCCAGGTGTGCTGTGAACATTTCTCCTTTCCAGGGGACTTCAAGAATTGCCATGGCAAGTCCCCATGTAGCTCTCATCAATCAGTAATTGTTCTACTTCTCATTTGCAGATGGCAGTGGTAAAGTAAGCCCTGAGCTTAAGATTTTGGATGTGGCTGTAGGAAGTTGGTATTCAATATGGCACTTAAAATCAGACACATTATGTTTCAGGGCATAAGTTTTCCACATTTTCTAGTAATTATTTTTTTGGGGTAAGGGGAAACAAATGCTCTGTATTAAACCTTATGTCAGAGAGATCAATATATTGGCACTGGCAAATTGACCTGTTTTCCTATTTTCTACCACCATGTAATGTTCCTGTTTTCTACTTTTAGTTTATAAGTTGACTGTGTGATGATTTTTTTCTAATTCCATGATTTTTTTTCTAATTTTCTGGTTGCATTTGCCTACTTTAAAAATAGATGAGTGAGGCAGCAAATGATTTTCTAACATAAGTTGGTTTTAAAGATAAAGAGTTACTTAAAAACTTCACTATGTGGATGGCTTATTTGTTAAGTATCTGCGTCTCCCAATAATCCATAAGGCCCTGCAGTGTATGCTGGGAAAAGTTATTTCTTGTATCTAGATAGTGCTTAAACATAGTAAATATTCATTAAAATGTGTTCAATGATTAAAAAATAAATGAATGAACATAAGATTTGGAATGGTGGTAGGAAAATTTGCTTTCTTGAGAATGGATTAGTTATTAAAAGAGACAGGAAAAGAAATTCTAGCTGGATGCCCTTGTGCCTGTCCACTTTCTCATATGCAGACAATCAATGAGACATTTTGGTGACTGAATACATCTTAACTATTTGCTTTATACCTCCTTGGTGTGCCCTGTATTTACCATTTGTATTTTCTTGTAAATTTCAAGAAGTTAATTATTTTAATGCATCTCTGTGACTGCAATTCTCCTAGGTAGATTCTGAGTGCATAGTGAGGTGGTATAGCAATTCAAAGCAGCCTCTGGGAACATGGCACTTGGCAAGTTTATAGGCTGTCAACATGCTGTACATTTACTGGTGCAAGGGAATAGTTAAAGGTTCTCTGATAGACTATATAACTTGAGCTCTCATTTTCAGGGGGTGAAGGCACTGGGCCAACTTGAATATCTTCCTGGTCTTAACAATGAGAGACCACTTGTCAAGACTACACTCAAAATAATGGGATGTTTTCTTTTGTTACTTTGGGAATCTAAGCTATATAGGGTGATTAATTAATATTCAGATCATGAAAAATTTGGTGATCATAACTAGTAGTTTCTCTTTTCTTTCTACTTTTTTTTTTTTACTTAATTTTCTCCCTTTTGGTTTTGTTTTATTTTGTGCTTCCCAGTTTATTCAGCAGGATTTTATTAGTCATATGTTGTACCACTTCTCTGTGCTGGAGATTAAAGGAGTAATTAGGTGGCACCTGTCCTTGGGCTTACAATATGGTTGGAAAATATACAAATTACAGTGCAACTTATTAGAAGTTTGCATACAGATGTGATTTGAGAGCTGTTTAAGCACAGTTTAGAATTTTAGGGGAACTCTGTATATAAAAATAAATACTATTCCAGTTTATTGGCACAAATTGACATATACACAAATGAGACAATAAGTAACATGGACAATTTTCTTTTCTAGAAATATTAGTTTAACACGGTCATTATATAAGACAACGAATAGGCCTACCCTCAGGAGAGTGGAGTTTGGAAGGACTCCAGGGGTTATTAAACCTAATACCCTCATTAAGTGACAACTAATATTTCCATTGTTTTTAAGTTCTTTTAACTTTTTCAGTTTATTTGATCAAACTTTTGAAATTTTAGTGTTTTAGTGTAGAACAATATATGGTAGATTTCAGAAAATCCTAATAAGTAGTAAAATGTTAAATATAGTGAATTTCATTGTATTTATATGTATATTGGACAAAAAATGCTCACTGCTTATAACTTCTCCACCATAAAATAGCTATGTCATTTGAAAATTGATAGTATAAAAATAAAAATGTAAAAATATTGATATTTTAAAATGAAGTTTATTTTTTTAAATACTTGGCTTATCAGGCATTGGATAGTCTTTATACATTATTATTATCTGTTATTGGATATTGTTTATTCATTCATTCTTTCATTGAATGAAAATATTTATTGAAACACATTACATATTAGGCTTTGATATACAAAAATATTAAGTCCTATCCCCTGTTTTAAGAGTATGTGACCTGGTAGTATGTAAGTTACCAAGCACTTATAATTGAGTGGGATAGTGCTTTAATAGAGTATAAAATTATGATGGACTCATTGAAGACAAAAGGGACTGAGAATCCTTTGGAACAGAATCAGGGGAGATATTTTAACTAGAACTTAAGGAATCAGAGGTAGTTTGTCAACTTCTGGAAATGGTGGAGAACAAAGCAAAGGAATATGTGTAGATGTTTGAGTTAGGAAAAACCATGTGATCTTTGTGAATGAACAAATTTTTTGACTTGTGTCAAAATATATTTGTCAGAGAATCACAAGAGTTGGGCCTGAAGAGGCAGGTGGTGAGAACTGACCATTAAAGGACATTTGATTTAGCCAAGAAGCTTCAGGGTTTATATACTTGGACCAAAGTGGGAAGAGGGAGAATGGTCAGGAGTCCCCTGAGGAGTGCAGGCTGGAGATGGCTGGTGGTGCTGGGAGTGAGGATGGGTAAATGGGTGAGTAGGTAGGTAAGTAGGTAGGTAGGTAGGTAAATAGGTAAGTAGACAGATTAGGTAGGCAGGTAGGGAGAGAGATAGATCAATAGACAGGCAGATAGATAGATAGATAGATAGATAGATAGATAGATAGATAGATAGAAGATAGGTAGATAGATGATAGATAGGTAAGTAGATAGATTGTAGATAGGTAGAGATAGGTAGATAGTAGATAGGTAGATTGATGGTAGGTAGATAGATAGACAGATAGATAGTAGATAGGTAAAGATAGATAGATGGTAGATAGGTAGATAGATGGTAGGTAGTAGGCAGATAGATCGATGGATAGATAGATGATAGGTAAGTAGATAGATAAATGGTAGACAAATAGAGATAGTAGGTAGATAGATCGTAAGTAGGTAGAGAGAGAGAGAGAGATGGTAGATAGGTAGGTAGGTAGATAAGACAGTAGTTAGGTAAAGATAGATAGATGGTAGATAGGTAAGTAGGTAGGTAGGTAGGTAGATGGTAGGTAGGTAGGCAGGCAGGCAGGTAGATAGGTAAATAGTTGGTAGATAAGTTAGTAGGTAGATAGATAGATGGTAGATAGGTAGAGAGAGAGAGAGATGGTAGGTAGAGATAGATGTTAGAGAGACAGATAGGTAGAGATAGGGATGGTAGGTAGAGATAGAGAGAAAGGGATGGAGAGAGATATGGTAGGTAGGTAGAGATAGATAGATGATAGAGAGAGAGAGGTGGTGAAAGGGAGAAGAGAGAGATATCTAGGTATATTGGAATTGGCTATTGATCTAGAATAACCTCCCAGGTTTTTTGCTTAGATCTCTGGATAGTGACTATCATTAAGTAAGATAAGTTAGAAGAAGGAGAGAAAGAAGATAACTGTTGTTTAGGGTATGTTGTCTGATAGACACTCAGCGGTAGATATGTGGTAGATAGAAGTCCATAACAGATACGGTGGTCATATAATTTATTCTTCAAGCCAGCACATTTTTAACAATGAAAAGGCATGCAATTATTGATTACACTTTGACAGTTGTCATTGAAAGACTAACCTGGGATGGCCTGTCAATTCAGTGAAGGATGATAATCCATTTTCTTATGTCTGTGTATAAGAACATGTACATAATGAAAGAAATAATAGCCACTCTTACAATCCAGGATATAGGTATTTTGAAAAATTTTATGTGTTGGTGAACTTATTAAGTTATTTCTTAAAGAATATTTTGATGAAATGAAAGAATATGGCCCAATTCACATTCTGTGGTCGGCGTCCGAAGAGGATCTGGCCGATGCTCTGAAAGGTGTTGCCAGCTGCATTGACAAGTGCTGTAAGGCCACGGAGAAGCGGATGTCTGGACTCTCGGAGGCCCTGCTTCCTGTCGTGCACGAGTATGTGCTGTACAGTGAGATGCTGATGGTAAGAACACCTCACTCCAATTCTGCCTCAGTCCCTTACCTGACTATAAGCCCTAGAAAGGTCATTTTTATTTCTTTTCTTTTTGTTTTTTTTGTTGTTGTTGTTCTTTTTCTTTTTCTCACCACTATCTTTTTATCCTGCAGGATGTCTTGCATGTAGATGCACTGTAAATATGTGTTCACTGTGTGCATGAATAGATGCAGGGAAGAATGCATTGATACTCAATACTCAATAACAACTCCCACAGTTTTTACAAGTATACATATACTTGAAACATCCTCCATAAAGATTTACTCAGGGAATATGAATCGTTTTTCCAACCTTTTTGAAATTTTACTTTGAAAAATTTGTAGTGCTTTAGAGATTTCTTTTCATGAAAGAACTGCTTTCCCACTACTAGGTACATTTGGTTTAGCAATAAATTTAGTACCATTATGCAGAAAGTACTTGAATAAGATCTTGATGTGTGTTCTGCCTTGTGATTGCTTTTGAGAGAAATCTTTCAAGTTGAAATGTTTTTCTTTCACTATTGAAAGGGCTTTCATTCCTCTCATATCAAAGTTTTGTTTTTTTCTTTCTCAGTTCAATTTAAGGTTTCCAGCTACTTGGGATTTAGCAATGCTGTCTACAGAGTCATGTTTCTCAGTCACTGTGATCCTGAGTCTGTGGTACTTGGCACCCTTGGGCGTCTGGCCTTTGGGGGTAGCAGAGGGGAAGGTGTCAGCGTGCATCCAAACATAGCCCATTTCTTCTGTGGTTTATAATCAGAGCCATGTCTGGTTTCTGTTGTAATGTACCCTTGATTTCTAGTGATTCCTTTTTTTTTTTTTTTCTTAACTTTGCCTCATTTTGGTAAGAAAAGCTCCCTTAGTCTTCAGCATCAGATCTTCCTGTGTCTTGTTGGTCATGTTGAGGTCTCCTTTGACAGAGTCATTAAATATTTCAGGCTTCTGCTGTTATTCGACTTTACTGGTTTCCTCATGGCAACAAACCCTCTTACATCCCCAAGATCCCAGGGTTTCTTTGCTGAGGAGTTCCCTGCTTCTCTCTGACAATGTTCTTGGTGTCATCCTGTGGTTTTACTTTATTATTGATCATTCCCTTTGCATGAATCTTCAAGAAGATCTGATTTGTATATTCTTTCCCCCTAAGTGGATAGTGTTTTTCCCTATAATTTATCAAGATAGAAATTATTTAACTGATATCTTGTGCTACTTAAAATATGGAAAAATTATAATAGCAACCAGAAATAATTATTGTATGAGTTCTCATTTGATCGAATTATTTTGTAGACTTCTAGAGTATAATCAGCAGTATTTATACTGCAGTTCTCATTCTGTTTTATATTGGAATGTTTTCTTCTATCTGAGCCAAAATAATGAAAAATAATCCTTTGGCAAAAATGATTAAATTTGTGTAATTTTCACTCGTTATCTTCCAAAGCAAACTTTTACTTAAAATATATTTATGCATATGAGGCACAGTACTTCATCTTTATGGAAATAGTCATGAAATAAATAGAACTAAATTATGGGATGAGGCATTTGAATTGGAGGAAAAAAGGAGTTTGTTGACAATAATGACCATTAAACATTGACGTAAATATAAAAGAATTTGTGATAATTAGTTGAATTTGCTATTGATTTCTTAGCAAATAGGAGACATGTTAATTCTTTGTGAATATCTTAAGAGTGATCTCACCAGGTGCAAAACTGAATTAGGCCGATCTCAGGATACTTTTTATCTTTCATGCTTTTCAGCTGTCATACAAACAGTTTAGTGCCATCTTGTCTGATTCCATGTAACTGATTTATGTCTAGGTTCCCTTCTTAAAGCATGCAGAAGAGCTGTGCCTTGTTAAGGCTCTTCTCTTATATGTCCTGTACTTCCTTCTCACTGGTTGACTGACCTAGAGTCAGTGTTTTTTTTCTTTAACTTGTTTAGACCACTTGTGATTATTATTAGAATTTTGTTATTTAATTAATGTTGTGAAAACCAGAGAAAGAGGAGTACAAATAAAGAGTCCTTGTGTCTACAAAGTCAGAATTGAATATCTTGGTAGAAAAATGAATCACCAACGGAAAGACATTATTAAAAAAAATCAGCAAAAATTATTAAAGATGTAGATGAATTCTGCCCTCAGATTGCTTCACAAGGGTGTTTTAAGTTTAAAAACACTGAAGCATGAAATTATGGTTATTCAAGAAAACAAGATGAACTCTAAGTTAAAGAGGAGGCCATGATTTCTCATCAAAAACTTGGTTAATTGATGAATATTTATGCATTTTGAGCTAAAATAGAATGCTGAAGGCGTGAATGCACACTTCAGTTTTCTGATTTCCCACTGCAGTTGCCTGTTTGATTAACTGTCCCTTTGGAGTCAGATAAGAGAGCTGCCTCTGACTGTAGATTTTTCAAGGTGAGTGGTTCATGTGACTCCTAGCTACAACCAGTTTATGCCATAGTGTATATTTCTGGTGTTTCCACTGATTTTTGTTGTTGTTGTTTTATTATTTGTTTTGCTATTTGTTCTTTTTGAAGAATTGTATGCCTAGGGTGCGCCATCAAATGTTGTACATATATATAATACTTAAATGGGTAAAATGTGCATTGGGAAAACTAATCAAAGATTTATGAAAAAAATCTTCTTAAATACTTGCTTTCAATTTAGCTTTTAGAGATTAAAAAAAGAAAAAACCAATACCAGCTTTTAAAAATGTATTATATCCCCAAATGACTGATGACTTGGAGAAGAGATGCTATTTATATTCTTAAATGTATTTTTTTAATGGAAAGATTATCAAAACTAAATATCACCTATTTTATCCTTAATATGTTTTAATATGAAGGGAGTTATGAAAAGAAGAGACCAAATACAGGCAGAACTGGATTCCAAAGTTGAAGCTTTGACCTATAAAAAGGCAGATACTGATCTGGTAAGTTCTTACGTTTCTTAATGTATCATGTAGGGTTCATTGTCTAAAATTTTTAACAGCAACGTAGAGCTTTATTACAGGATTGTATCCAAGTTTTCAGCACGTGATAGTGAAATTTGTTCCAAAAATCTATATCACAGTGAGTACCATGAAGTTTGCAAGCTTAACATTGATGCTTCTCTGCTTTCTGACTTTCATTACCTCTACTGTAGGGAAAGTATAAAGTTAATGTTTTGAAAGAAGTTATTGACTTAGAAGAAGGGATAAAATGTACTTAGCATGTTCTAGGTTAGTAAGTATTCAGGAAATTAATCTACTTTTTGCTAGTTTTATAAAATATTTATACAAAATAAGTTAATGTTCCTATAGTTTTTTCTCATTATCATGACAGTCTTTACAAAGGCATTATCTATTTTTTTTCCCAAGTTTTTTTCCTTTATTAAGATACTTTATTATGGGCATTTTTTTTAAAAAAACAAGATCTAATAGTATGATAAGCTTTCTTATCTATCTTTGGGCTTCATTAATTCTCAACATTTTGCTCAACCTTTATAAATGTATCTCTTTTCATTTTTAAAATTTTTGCTGAAGTATTCTAAAGTAGACACATGGCCAGAACTTGTAATTGTATATTTTGAACTTTAAAATTTGCTTTTTATTTGTTAAATAATTTTAAAGATGATGAAATAAATGGGTAGAAAAAATTTTCTCTTGCCTAAATACTAGAAAAAGTAGAGTAGCTTAAAGTTTTAGGCGAATAATAACGTAGCTTAAAAACCAAGCATGTGTTCAGAATGGCCTATATTCATGCTTTGAAATGAAAGAAAGATTAGTTGGGATTGTTCCAACCACAAAAAGCACAAGGAAAAAAAGTAGCTTGGGATCAAATATGGCAGAATTTCCCTACTCAACTAAAAGAAAAGAACTTTTTTTTTTCTTTTAACTTACAAATATTTTGTCTTTCTCTCTATAAAAATGTTATTGATAACCTGGTGATTAATCTGTATGTTTTATTTTATTTTTGTGTGTCTTATCCACTGAAAAATGCATAAAATCTACAAATAGCAGCTCTATTGTAAGATTGGAAATACTTGAAATAATTATCTGCTTCATAGTCTGTAAAATACTTAATGGAAAGATTGTCAAAACTAAATATCACCTATTTTATGAATTAAGATTTGGTAGACACATTTAACCAAGATATTGCAGGGGTTTGTGTGTGTGTGTGTGTGTGTGTGTGTGTGTGTTTATTACTCAACAAAACAAATCCTTTCTGAAGTTTATACGAACTTATTTAATGATTTGTGAGTGGCACTGTTTGTATTTTTAAGCAGTTGATTTGTTTTCAATTCTTCTCACTTTAAAATCTTCATATGTTTGATGGTATGTTTGGGAGAAGCTTCCCAGAGTTACTCTAAAAATGAACCTGCCATGATTGGTCACAGAAGAACTGAAGGGAAGTTGCCTAGAAATGTAGGATAGGGTCACCATGGAAACGTGCCCTTGTGAGGTCCTTCTAAGGAGCCATCCTTTGCAGTTGCCATGACGACCCTGGCAGAGGACTGAATATAGCAATCTGCCTGGTGTTTACCATGACAACTCAGACAGAGCCACGTTTGAGACAACCCTGGGGCCATTTCTATGGAGACCTGCTGGGGCTGGCATCAGCAGTTCCATCAAAGTCACCTCTGGGTGGGGCGCTATGTGCAAACCAGCAAAGTGACTCATAATGAAACAATCAGAGAAATGAAGCTCCAGCAGGAAGGGCAAAGCTTGGAGGATTATAATGATGGTAGAAAGACAGCAGTGATGTAACATTCCAGTCATGTTGGATACACCAGTGGTCTTCATGTGGGCCTGTGGCATGCAAAGACAAGGCTCTAGCCCTCTACCTTGCCTGTGACTCTGTGTTTGCTATAAATTAGCAAAAATGACATTATGGTTACTTTTTCTTATCACACAATTATGCCCACATAAGGTACATGGTTTTTTACAACTAAAATAGTATTTGGTAATGAATCCTTGATGTATTGCCTAGGTAGGTAAAGCACCTCATTCTTAGAGTTTATGGTTTATTGTTCTTATATCACAGCAATAAAGTTCATGGTTTCTAAAAGACCTAAACTCAGTGAATGCATTTGAAAAATTCACTTGAAGTTAGTTCAGCTGTTCATTTAGAGTTTTGTCACTTAGGCTTTGGAATTTGGTAACCCTAGGACCAAATCCTAGTTCCTCTGCTTATTAACTTTGGCTACCCATGGTAAGTTTCCTAACTTCCTTCCTTTAGCCTCATTTTATTATGTATACAATGGGGAAATTATGAGTATCTTTCTAGTGGGAATGTTTAAGAATTAAATAATAAAGTATAAGTTGCTTGGATCACTAAGCACTCTCAGCTGTAGCTGTGTGTGGATGACTGTACAGTAAGCAGTATTTGAGATGGGTCCTGTGGTGTGACTAAGGAATGGTTCACTGAAAAGCAAGGAGAATATCTAAAGTAGAATGGATATTACAAGAAGTAGTAGAAGCTCACCAAGCCTGCCAAGTTGGTGAAACAGAACTGGTGTTTGGAGGGCAGGGCTGGGGGCTGGAGGGGATGTAGTTTAAAGGTAAGTTTGGGTCAGGGGGAAGAGGGTCTATTTGTCAGGTTGCGGGCTGTGGACTTCATTCTGGAGCAGCATGGATCCAGGGAGCCAGAACTAAGGATGTGGCAGCCAAGTTGCAGGGGAGAGTTGATTTAGAGAGAGGTGGGTGGGAGGCAGAATCCACATACTTAAAGAGAGGAGGACTGCCAGTGTTTAATACTGTCAATGATTAACATTTCTAGCTTACAGGGGGCAGATTGTGGCTCTCTTAGCCAAGCCATAGAATAAAAGAGGAAGAAGAAATTTGGAGGTGTGCAACTTTATGTCTTGCATGATAAGTTGACATTTAAGGGAGAAGTATTCAAAAACCTGTTTTTTTAGATTAGAAAATACAGTTTATTTAGAAAGCAATTAAAGAGAGAGAGAAAGAGGAGATTCACTTCCACAAGGTAGGGGAGGGATCAAAGCCAGGAAACATGGCAACGGCCATAGCGCAAAGAGTGCATGGCCACTCCAGAGTCTAGTAAGGCAATGGTCAACAAAAGCCTTTCAACAGACTTTACTGGGGAACTGCCATACAAGTATCATGATTCCATGCCCTGGAGAAACAGCAGTTGAGAAAACAGGTCTTCATGAGTCTGATATACTAATGGAGGAGACAGACCAACAATCTGAAGTAAACAATTCATTCAAATTTATAGCATACTGTAATGCAGTGGTGGGTGTGGAGGTGAGAGTGGTTGAGGAGTAGAGCAGTCTAGAATCAGGGCTCCAGGAAGGGCTTATCAAGGAGAAGATGTCTGAGAGTCATGTGTGGACCTGGAGAAGAGACTTCTGGGCAGGGGGAACAGTAAGTGCAGAGTGGACGTGTCCCTGCACATCCCACTAGAAGCAAGGAGCCCAGAGCTACAGGAATGGAAGGAGCCAATGGAAGAGTGGTGAGAAATGAAGTCAGAGAAGTAACAGGGTTGGGTCCCATTGGGCCTGTTGAGGCTGTGATCTCAGCGAAGGTGGTGGAGACGGTTGAACAGAGGGAGTAACACAATCAATGTGCGTGGTGGTAAGACTGCTGTGCCTAGAAAAGCACAGGGAAGGTGGTGTGCAGAGGTTAGATGCAGAGTTTAATTCTCAGGAAGAACTGTTTGTGTTTGGTGGGATGAGGCTTGAGAGGACCAGGTGAGTTGGACTGAGCAACTGGATGGTGATCATTGGCACTAAGTGAGATGGAAAAGCCTCTGGAAAGGATGGGCTTAGGAGGGAGTTGAGGACACCAGATTGGACGTGTAAAGTGGAAGTGCCTGTTAGATGCCAAGTGGAGATGTTGAGTAGGAAGTTAACAGGTAATCATCCCTGGGTCAGGGAGGGGCCCAGTCAGGGATGGGTGCCTAGGAGCTGTTTGCAAATGGGTGATATTTACAGCTATGAGATTAGATTTGTTGGGGTAAGAAAAGGATGAGAAAATAGAGAAGAAAGAGGTTGCTGGACCGAGTCTTGGCAGACTCCAACATTGAGAGGTTAATGGTAGTAGAACCAGGGAAAGTATGGCTGATAAATAGAAGAGAAAGACATTAACCAAGCTGTGACAGGTGACCAGTCATTACACCAGCAAGAGGAACCACAGAGATCTAATCAGCGTCGTTCAACGTTTTTCCCCATGTCTCCAATTATGAGGCATTTATGAAAACAATTTGATATAGAATAGCTAAGGTAAGTGTAGATAATAAAATATTTCAAGAGAAGTTGATTTCTACTACGTGTTCTGATAAAGAAGACATTGGCTAGGCAGGATAACTTACACCTGTAATCCCAGCATTTTGGGAGGCCAAGGAAGGTGGATTGCTTGAGCCTAGAAGTTTGAGACCAACTCGGACAACATAGCAAATTCTGATCTCTACCAAAAAAAAAAAATCAAGGAATTAGTCCAGTATGGTGGCATGTTCCTACCCTCTACTCAGGAGGCAGAGGTAGAAGGATCACCTGAGTCCAGGAGGCTGAAGCTGTGATGAGCTGTGATCATGCTACTGTACTCCACCCTGGGTGACAGAGGAAAAAAGAATCAGATGAAATAGATACTGTTGTATGCAAGTAAAAAAAAATTTTGACTGTGGTAATAAAGGTTTAATAATAACAGATTATGAGGAAAACTCAAATATTTGGAGAAACTTGTGGGTTTTGCCATTTAGTTATAAGTTTGTAGAGTCAGAGCTTCTGTTTGAAGATGCTTTTTCTCTTCACTACTTAGCTATAAAGAAAATAAGGCTCATCTGTGGTGCTAAGTAATGCTGCATATTTATTTTATTTTTATTTTTGAATGGATGATTTATAGTTTTCCACTCAAAGCAGCATTCGGATATAAATGAATATGAATCCATTTGACATTTAGCAATATGTGCACAGAATCAGAAAGCTGGATCT